ATGTATACTGTACAACATTCTACCATTGTATGTATACTGTATGACATTCTACCATTGAATGTATACTGTATGACATTCTACCATTGTATGTATACCGTATGACATTCTAACAGTGTATGTTTACTGTACGACATTCTACCAGTGAATGTATACTGTATGACATTCTACTAGTGTATGTATACTGTACAACATTCTACCAGTGAATGTATACTGTATGACATTCTAACAGTGTATGTATACTGTATGACATTCTACCATTGTATGTATACTGTATGACATTCTACCAGTGAATGTATACTGTATTACATTCTAACAGTGTATGTATACTGTACAATGTTCTACTAGTGTATGTATTAACTGTATGACCTTCTACCAGTGTATGTATACTGTACTACATTCTACCAGTGTCTACATGACATTCTAACAATGTCTGTTTTAGACTGTACTGATATGTTGGATAGACTACACATCCCTAACTAGTGGAAGTGCTGTACTGGATTATTACTTGCATACAACCTAATTTAAATATTTAGAGTAGATCCCTATATTTATAACACAGCATAGTGTTAATTAGTTTTGCCTGTGAATTGAGATAATTGGATTACATGATATATTGGTGAGGTCAGTATGTGTTAGTGTTGTGATGTAAATATTTCTCACATTCTGCATGCTATGTCCTACTGTTATCATGAGTTCCTAGAGGTTTAACCTAGTCGCTGAGGTGAAGAAAAAGCTAATTGTTCACTTAGTTTTAAGCAGAAGATAGGAGAACATTGTCATGTTTTCCATTATTCAATTGAATGAAGGTGGTAGCTTGGTACTACAGTAGATATGTATACCATCCTCATAAAAAAAATGTATATCGTCCCATCAAACGCAAAGAGGTGACTAATAATGAGTGTCTGTTTTTGTGTGCCTGGCGATTCCGGTGCTATAGGTGTTCTTTTTGTTATGGGTCTGTATTTCAACAGCTCATTATTGTGGTGTGTAACCTGAGTACTAAAGTACAGTTACCCATGCCCAACATATAAACCAGGCTTATATAATAGAGTAGGGAGGTAGAATTGTGCAACAAGTGTAACGTGTCTTGCTCAAAGACACAATGACAGTCTGCTATCTGCTGGATCAAAATCAAGGAACGTGTGGTTAACACACTACCTGCAGCTGTAATTAACACTAAATGATCAAATTTATTTTACTATTTAAGGGAAAGGGACATTGAATCCGAGTGTGAATTAGTTATCAACAACAGCTATAAAGGAGATTCATGTACAGAAATTATAATGTAGCCATAAAGAACAGTTAGAAGGTTGCATGAATATTCAGGAGTAACCTAATACTGATACAATCAATGTTGATATATTTACCCACCGGGATACAGACTACTAAATATTTCGTACTAATGGCGTAATGATATCTATATAGATAGTTTATAATTTGCTTCATGGTTAATGCCAGTCTGTCATCTTGTTGAGTTTACTGTCAGAGTGTAGACTCAGGTACATCAATAAACATGGAATCCAAAATAGTATAACACAGATAAAATACAAATGAAGGTGAGAAAAAATTTCCTCCAGACTTGTGAATCTGTTCTGATGAAAGAAGTTCTTGTTCGGAAAATAAAGATTTGTTTGTGTATGCAATTACAGCTTATTTTTCAAAATGTATTTTACCAGATGGTATTTAAAATAAAAATGAAATTTGTTTGTATAGATAATATATAACATACCATAAAAGGAAATGAAAATTTATGATCTTTGATTTAGCAATTACTCTTCTAATTTATGGTGAAAAATAAGCCAGTTAATTATTGCATTGATCAAGTTGACCTGAAATAAAACACATTTGTTTCAGGTGCCACACTTAATCATTGAGCCGCTGTCCGTTACTTTTTTCAATGTATCCCAAAAAATCTATAACTATGTCAATTAATTGAAAATCAAGTTTGGAATGCCCGTGGCTGGCACACGACAGGGATGGGTATGGCGACAGTATCGATGTCACATACTGATACAGCCTCCGTATCGATCTCGTGATTACGGGTAGCGTAGTCTAATATTAATGTACAGTGCACAAATTCAATCAACTGATTGAAGCACCTTATCAGTGGTATTGGCTGTGTGGGCTGTTTGTGTGTCAATATTTTTTTTCTCATTTTCTCTCTCTCACCAATTTCAATTTTAACCATGGAAAAACGTTAATCCCTGACCTCAATTTCAAAAGCTGTATTATATTGAAGTAAAAATTGTCCTCTGAATCAATACAAAACCAATATAATCCTGCAATTTTTTTAGGATCTAAATGGGTCTTAAATCAACAGCAATTTCTGATTTAAAATTGGTTTTGATGTGGCAAAAGTATTAGAAAATTGAAATGGCTACTGTATCTAGTAAAATATGGAATCATATTTTTTTTAGGATCTAAATGGGTCTTTTAAATCAACAGCAATTTCTGATTTAAAATTGGTTTTGATGTGGCAAAAGTATTAGAAAATTGAAATGGCTACTGTATCTAGTAAAATATGGGATCATAAATGTGATTATCTGCATGTGCTGACATACTGCCACAGTGGAAATTTTTACTGCAGTGTTTGTCAACACAGAAGTGTCCATACAATAACAGGATCAAAGTCAACTAAGTCAGTCTATTGCTATAGTCCTATATTAATGAAATCATTACTTTAAAATTGAAACATGCCACAAAATAAAATTTGGATGACATGAATGCAATCAAAACAAAAACACATCACTTCAGCTGTTTCCTCTTATGTGAGCAAAACAGAAATATTTTTCAAAACATTTTTTTTTAAATTTTAAATTGTAATCGATTGCTTGATGACTACAACTCTTAGTATCAAAGGATTGAAGAGAAATTCAAACTGTGTTGAATTTGAAATGTAGTTGATTGTTTTATGACTACAGCTGTCAGTATTAGTATGTAACATTGTGGCGTCCCTCTGATGGCTAAACTCTGGCTGCTGCAGCTATTAAGTGCATTCATGTATGACACTGAATACTACGGGTATGGTTCACTTATTAACCGATATTAGTGTTCGGTTAATTACATCGGCTGGCAATGCTTTACAGACTGGCACATCACGTCAGTAATAAACAAGTTTATGCCACGGGGGGTCCGTATCAGTTTCACGCTTAATAAAAAAAAACTTGATGCTAACGTTGTCTGAATTACAATATATACCTGTAGATAGATATATACAACTGATGGTCGTACGATGTATAGCTGAAACATTCTATTGATTCGGGAGCCTGGATGTTTGTTAAGTTAAGTGTTCTACTACTATCACAGGTAGCACTCGCAGTGGGAAATAGGATACTGTGGGTTTTATCTAGATCGGACACGTATAGGTGGAGATGAATACCATTATTGATGGGAAGCAGTAAAAGTGAAGAATTACTGTTTGAAAGGTTTAAAGGGTTGTATCAGGATACAGCTGAGAAATTGGAAGCTGACAGCACTATTTTAAACCTTTTGTAAAATGTAATAGTTTTGGTATTAGATCATTTAAAATATATACAGCTAGTATTGTATTTACTAGGACTACGTACCATCAGAAAGTTCCTCGGAAATATTTATGAAGTCATATTTTATAAATGTATATATTCCATTGAAAACACATCCAATGAAATGGAATTAACATTAACATTTTGAGTATTTAAAAATAAAAATTCAACAGAAGAAGAAACTCCTGAGGTGGAACTCGGAACTTTTCTACACTTACCAATACTGCTAATTGTTACAGCTTAGAATCAAAATTAAAATCTCACCAGGGGAAGTAACACTATCAAAAATGCTCAGTATCAAAATGAAACTATCTCCAAGGGAGGTAACTCTAAGCAAAATAAACTTTGGTACAAGTACATAACAATCCATGGTACATTTAAATGGCAATAGCTGTTGTTTTTATATAGCTGTCGTTTAATAAGTATTCAATTTAGGATATTTTATTGTTTCCAAAACATAGGGATTACACAACAGGCATCTGTCACTTAGTGTGTGATACATCTGCTATAAAGTTATGCAAAAGTGAATGTTGGGACATCTGAATTAAAACCTGTGTTTTAAAAATGGTTAAAAATTGAAAGTTGCAGATGAATGCAGGCATGCCATGGGATTACATATGTATAGACAATTTGAATAGCTATTACATTGCCTGTTTGATATGATGAGCTCGTATAATATCTATACAATGTGTTACATATATAGTGCAATGCATATCGGCTTTTTGACTAACAGCATAATTACACTAACAGTAATTCAAGGTAACTAACCATTTATAATACCATTATAATATAGATAACAATGCTAACTACAGCTAGATACAGGATCACTAAGTGGTACTCTATACATAACATGCTTTATTTATTTGTCGTTTTCAGTCAATCATGATATACTTCATATGATGACAATTATGTATAAACACCTTCCTGAATAAATATATTTAGGACGACTTTTAATACACCAGTTAACCGTTATTTTCTCTATGATTTACTCACATGGATAGCAAATCAGTAAACTTGTTTCAAATACCCTAGACAACAGTCCTTATTGTTCTGCAAATAATTATGAATTGAAACCCGTTGTTGGTACAGTGTTTCCATCAGAGACAATGAAACTGGTGGCGTGCTCGGCATTTGTTACTGTAATTTGATGAAACCTGAGCAATATATTGACAATTTTTAAATCTATTCTGTACTAATGATCAGCTACAAAACAACTGAAGTTTATTTAAATGAAGAACAATTATTAGCAGAAAAAAAATCATTACACAAAAACTGTACCGTATTCATCATAATGTTATCATGATTTTGAAAATTTGTTTTTCTAAAATTAATTTGTAGATAAAATTGTTTCAAAGATGATACAAATCATGTTCTTTAACTCATTACAATATAAGTATACAAGTTAAATTCACTTTTCTGTTGTGACAGATATAATATAAACACATGTTATATTCTGTTTTCTCTTTCTGTTTTTTGCAGACTTGACAAGTCGACATCCTGCTGGGGTGAAAAATAATTATCCCTCTCCCTTTCACCACTCCCCAATCCCGAAAATTCCTCAAAAAAACAATCCTGACCCACGTCGTTATGAGTCGATGGATCCTGATTCCCACTCGACTCCTGATGACGTTATTAACAATTACCCCCGAGCCCAACCCTATCAAACACCCCCTCGTGGCCAGAGGGCCCAGTCCCCACCTCCAAGGGGAGATAGAAATGACATAACCCCTCCACGTCGCCAGGATAGGGGGGCTAACAGAGGTCATGACCCTGCTAGTGGGCGTGATAGTGATACGCCTACTGATGTGCATCAACCAGACCAAATAAACGCTCAACGTTCACAGTCACCCTCCAGGGTTGTGAACCGGCGCTCACAATCCCCTGAAAGAATAGTAGACAGGAAGTCTCCCCCTAGATATACTAATGAAAAAGTCCGTCCGCAAGATAAACCCAACGAACAGTTGGCTAGGATCGATGATGATAATGTCGCTACTCCACCTAAACATTCTGAACGCCCAAGGGAAATCCCTACTAAAATAGAACAAAATAAATCTCCAATTCGTGAAGCAGAAAAACCACAAGCGAAACAGGGAAGAAAGGTTGCCTCCCCTGTCCCTGGTAAGGTTCAAACAAATGGCACTAGTCGACCTCTGTCAGCGTCATGGGGGTCTGACCAGGACTCTCCCTCCCCTGGGGGTGCTCCCCCTCCCAAACAGAAGCCCCAGAAGGGGGCTGTACCTGGACCCCCACTCAGTGCTACTCCTCCTCCATTGGTAGAGTCCAGTAATCGACCGGTAGCGGCAGGCAACAAGTACGACTCTCGCCTGGAGACGTATACCAACCACACAAACGAGGATTCTGGGATAGCCGGCCTCACTCCCGAGGACCACTACAGGGAAAACCAGGATGATGACCTCGACAGGTAAATAACACACACAGGTGTGGTGATCTATTTCGGAATATATTTATAGCAGTTGACAATGAAGGACAACACCTGATAAGAAAAAATGATGTGACGCTTTGAAAAAAGTATTAAGATAAATCATTTTAGTTTTAGAATTAAACATCTTTCTGAATGATGGGTTAATTTGAATTCTTTGCTTTTTTATTCTGTGTGGTGGCTTTTGCAAACATTTAAACTGTTGTACACATGTTTTGACAGGAGGAAACGTGAGAATGAGGAGAAGCGACGACGGGAGGCAGAGTTACGGGACCGTCTGAAGGCTGACCAAGAGGAGCGCGAACAAAAGGAAAAAAGTGGCCGTGACAAGGAATGGGAACGCCATGAACAACTGGAAGAGGAACGTAGACGCAAGGATGAGGAAGAGAAACGAGGAAGGGAGGGAGAAAAGAGAAGACAGGAGGAGGCGGACAAAAGAAGAGAAAATGAGGAAGAAGCAAGACGGGAACAGGATAGGAATTTAGATCGACTTTCTGCTTCTGATGAGGTAAGAGTCACGAACAATCTGAACTTGCTAATAGTAACAAGAACTCAGATAAAATAATGATACAAATAACCTAGTTAAAAGATAAATAACTGTAAATTTATGATATTAATTTTTACATTGATATATACAATGCATTATATAAGTGGATGGGGAGGAAGGACCCTTGGTTTAGATATTGTGATCATTTACAACATTGGGAGAGTGTTATCTCCCTTGCTTTAATTGTACCATTGTAATTTGTTGACAGATTGTTTTAGTTTGAATAATGATATAAATCAGCTGATACATATGTCGTGACGAAATGTTTGAATTGGTTTGTTAGAGTACCAGAGATAAAGTTATGTCAGGGAGACTGAGCAGAGGTCAGGTGACCGGTCAACCTGACCGAACATCTACTCCTAACTCTGTCAAGGTCACGGTCCAGCTTAACGGCAGTCGCGTGACAGATGTCAATGTCAGCATGGGCAGTGCTAACAGCAGGCAGAGTGTAGCTTCTGATAGAAATATCTCAACTGACATTGTACAGAGGTCAAACTCACAGACCACAGGGTATCTCACGGACAAGGAAGATAGTGGTGTAAACACAGGTTACCATAGTGATCAAAATTCTCAAATATCGGGTGAAGGTCACCACAGTAACACCAGCAAATTTGAGTCAAAAACAAGTCGAAGTCACGCTGAAAAGGAAGACAGTAGTCATGGTCTTGACTACCAAAACAATATTGATGGAACTGGAACAGACCAAGGTCAAACTAAAGGTCAAGGTCACATAGAAAAAGACGTTAGTAGGATAAATAAAGGGGAAGGTGATAATCATATATCTAAAGGTCACCAAAGTCTTTCCAGGGGTCAAAGTGAAAATGGGAAAGTGCAAAGTGAACAGGAAAGTAGTGTCTTTAATGAACAAAATAACTACGGAAAGGAAACCAGTGGTACAGATGAAACAAAGATTAAATCGCAAAGTGAATATAAGGATGACAATGCTAGGGATGGGACCCAGGTCCGTGGTGAAAGGTCAGCCAACCAATTCAACAATTCGAGTCCAAGTCCAACGAGAAGACAAGATCAACAGCGTAGGGACAGTGATAAAGCAACGCCTCGTCACACGGGGCCAGTGGTACTGACATCAGATACAGAGCTGGCTACAGAGCCTAGAAAGGTAGTGTCAGGCAGTCGCTATGTAGGCCAGCAGCCAGGGGAGGCAACTGTTACCCAGCCAGTTGAACAATCTGGAGGTCTACAGGTACATAGTGGCAACAGTGGCAGTGGTAACAGAAAGACACCATCCAGTGGTAAACCTAAAGAGGTGTCCTGGTCAGATGGTGTCGTAGACAATGAATCACAGACCTCCAGTCGGGAAAGCAGCAGACCTTACGTGGGACAGGGGTCTGTTGGGGAGGATAGTCAGACCGGAGAGAGGGCAGATGAGATAAGGGACACTTTGGCCCCAAAAATGGGGGACAATATACGACCAGGAACATACACACGTCCCCAGTCGTCATTTCAAGGGCCACGCCGCGTTCCTCGTGTTCCGTCAGTTCAGTCAAACAGTCAAGTTTCTAACCAGTCACCAAGACAATCATCCAGGGGTCAGGTGGTGCCACGACCAGTTGTTCCTAGGATACAGCTAAGGTCAGACAGCAGTGTTGACTCCCAAGAGGTTCGACATGGGACATCCAGTGTGGTCCATACTCCGTCTGGCTGGCATACACAGAGGGGCTCTAAAGCCAAAAGTGTGACACCAAATCAGGATGGCTACCAGACAGACGTCAGCAACCAGGACAGCAATGAGTCCCAGTCTAGAGACGATGTAATACAGCACGTGTGACAGAGCAGTGTGTGTTACTAGTGTGTCACATCACGTCTGAGACAAAGCAGTGTGTGTCATGTCACATGTGACAAATAAATGTGTGTGACGTGTATGTCACATCACATACCTGTGACAAAGCAGTGTGTATCACCATTGTGTCCCATCACTTGTGACAAAATAGTGTGTCATGTAAGATAACAATATGTCTACGCACAGTTATGTGATTGTTTATTGACGGAAGTGTAAGGTATATATACAAAGGCAACAAATCCAGTCATGTTTTCAGATGTATAGATCTACTTAACAGTCAGTAATAGGACCAATGATATACATACAGTATAATCAGCCTCGTCTTGGTAGTGTCACCTCCATACTGTTGTATATCCCCTACATCTGATCATCTCAGGATTTCAATATAAATGTGTGTCATGACTATAGTCAAGGTTGTACCTCAAAGTCAAGGTCATAGTGAAGAGTCAAAGGTCAAATGCTTGTTCTTTCTGTAACTTTTTATCATTACAAAGTCAACAGTATCATGGCTAGAGGTCATGTCTTGTTTTGTTGTATAATAACTTATTTCCAGATATGCTGCTATGCTTATACTTCATACATCTTGGTAAGGGGCTGTACACAATGTCGGGTCAAAAGGTCAAGGTCATTTTTATACACTTTCAGTTCTCAGAGGCCATCTGTATTCATAACTACAAGCAAGAAAGTGTACCAGGGATGTCTTCAAGTTAAAAGGTTGCACTGCTGCTTTAAAATAAAATTCAGGTCTTTTGCTCAGAAGCACAAGGGAACATTCATTCATTCAATGTATAGACCAGGGTGACCATCCCATTAACTAACCACCTATAATTTACAGACCACCATCCAAGGAAGCTGTGAGTTCAGTTTTATGTCGCTGAGTAAAGGTTGAGAGGAATGTCATTCACATACACTTCATATCACTAAGGGTTGAGATAGATGTCACACATTTCTAGTCACTAAAGCATGTTAAACCAGATTTGGAGTGAGACAATATTTTATGCAAAGCTTGTTTGTGTGATTGATGCTTATAGCTGGAATGTCCAACTATCACTTTTAGTAAGATGAAGCATGCATGCATTATGAGTAAATTTCTAGTCAGATGAAGCAGGCTTGCAGTACATTTCTAGTCAGATGAAACAGGCTTGCAGTACATTTCTAATAAGATGAAGCAGGCTTGCAGTACATTCAGGCTTGCAGTACATTTCTAGTAAGATGAAGCAGGCTTGCAGTACATTTCTAATAAGATGAAGCAGGCTTGCAGTACATTTCTAATAAGATGAAGCAGGCTTGTAGTACATTTCTAGTAAGATGAAGTAGGCTTGCAATACACTTCTAGTAAGATGAAGCAGGCTTGCAGTACATTTCTAATAAGATGAAGCAGGCTTGCAGTACATTTCTAATAAGATGAAGGAGGCTTGCAGTACATTTCTAATGAGATGAAGCAGTCTTGCTGTACATTTCTAGTAAGATGAAGCAGGCTTGCAGTTCATTTCTAGTAAGATGAAGCAGGCTTGCAGTACATTTCTAGTAAGATGAAGCAGACTTGCAGTACATTTCTAGTAAGATGAAGCATGCATGCAGGAAAATTAGATTTCTCTGCATGACTTTAATCAGGAATAGGACATAATTGGTTTTATTTATAACATCACGCCATGTGTTTGAGATGTATGTGCACACGATGATATGTGTTTGTTGTCAGTTTGTAAGTCTATATACCTTCATTGCTGTCACCTCGTTAATAATTCCTTTAACAATTCACTCATGTGATAAAAAAGTTGTCTGTAAAATTGTATTGTTATTATCACATTGTAAATAACTCTCACTTGTACCTAAGTATATATTAAACAGTCAATTGTGTTATATTTAACCTATTGTTTGTCTGCAGCAGCCATGTTTACATGGTAGTGATCGTCTACTAAATAATAAATCAACATCTGATGAGCTGTAAATGTTCAATGATTAACAATTTATGAATATATTTCACTGATTCTGTTGATGATATTGATTACTGAGGTTATGCTTCATTAAATGATGTTGATTGTCATATTTTGTGTCTCTTCAGACAAGGCATAATGTCTAATAAAAATAAAAATATGCTAATCATGCATAAAACAAACAAATTATGATCCCTAATATAAATAATTGATGAATATCATGTTACTGTCTTGTAAGTCTGTCCATCTGTTGTCATTGCTCTTGAACAATTATTTACGATTGTATTTTCACCAAACTTGTTGTAAAGGTCAAGTATGTAGATAACTTCAATAAATTTGTTTCATTAAGTGCTTCCCCTAAGGTCAAGGCCACTGCTACTATAAATAGATTATTTTTTTCATTGTGTTTTAGAAGGCTCAATTATGCTAACCTCTTCACCAAATTTAAACTTATGTTGGAAGTGTAGAGTACTTGGATACCTATAGGTCAAGGTCACTGTTACTATAAATAGAGATTTTTTTGCGTTTGCTCTAGAATGCTGATTTATGATTGCAATCAAGTTCTTCAGTATCTAAACTTAGTTCATATTTGTTTTCCAAAGGTCAAGGTCACTATTACTTTATGTGGAAGACTTTCAAACGATAATAATTATGGTTAATGATATACTTGGTAATGCATGACTTGGAAAAATAACAGTTTATGAAGGCGAACATGTAATTTATGGATTAGCATCTTTTCATTCCCTGATACCGATTCTACCGAGCTTGCATATCCATCATGCCAAATATAATGAAGACAGTTTAAATTGGGGCGGCGGGTATCGTCAGCTTTGATCAAATCCTTTAGTTTCTTATGTCCCCTGCATTTCATTATCATTATATTTCACTGTAAAAACAGAATGTAAAAGAGGATATTTAAAGAAGTATATATAGCTTCTACCATTGTGATACAACAAGATAACCTTATATCTTACGGTAATATGTTTTCAGGTCAAGGTGATAACTTGACCTGGCAGTTTGGCTATAATCCTAGATATACCGTTATGATATATATAATATTTGATTCTCTGACACCTAAAGCTTGTCGACATTAAGTAATGATCACAGACAAACATCATTGACTGAAAATAGAAAAGGCACCAAAACATCAGCAGATGCTTGACATATTGATGAGATAAAGCCCTAAAATATTACCACAAGGTTCTATACAATATCTCAAAGATTACTCTGTATGTGACAAATTAAAGGCTTATAGATGTACTTTTAATTCATTCAATTTTCTTTTTCACAGGAGCTGAACCGATTCCCGTCTCCTCCACCTCTGAAGATGTCCACACCTTCGTCCTCGAAGGGCCCTCGGGATTCAATAGGGGGCTCCGACACAGAGAGGGGCCAACACGGGAAAACTGAAAGTAGGTTATAAGAGTTCAAGAACTAGGTGAAAGGCCACACCCCTTTCTGCCCCTGGATTTATTACAGACTATAGAAAATAAAAGTTAATGATCAGCGCAAACGATGTGGGTACAAGATACGCATGCTGCCTTATAGGGCTATGTTTATTTGTAGTGGTTTTTTTGTGTAGTGTAGGATTGTTATCAGATACGCGTAGGGCATTCAACAGTTATGTTGTACAAAGAGATTTCAGACAATTAGTGTCAGACCTTGAAAATGCATGAATATTTAAATTAATTGACTTTTAAAACTGTAATGAACATCTATTATTGAATGTATTTATGACGGTTGTTATGACAGTGTCTTAGTGTGATAATGTTGTATCTTAAAATAGCTGGTGCATCAAGTAAGTCATCATGTTCATGTGACATTTGCATGAAATATTAATCAGATATGCGTACATTATAGCTCACCTGGGTATAGGTTTAAGCATGTAATTGGAGGTTAGCGTATACCTGCATGGTTCTCTTGTTATCTTTTATATATGGCAATTCTGCGTCTTGTTAAAAATTTCTTTGCTTTTGCATTAATTTGAAAAATTGTAATTTTAGTACAAACTGGGTTGTAATCTTATAGTTGTACTTTTATCTACCTAATGTAGCTTACTATCAAAAGTTGTTCTAAAAATGATTGAAGGAGGTTAACCAACATGACAGTGTGTACAGAATTGCCATAAGATCATTTGAAACTCTTTGTCTGTGTCATACCGCAGGTGTCCAGCTGAAACAAAATGTTGATAAATATTTACAATTGTAAAGAACTTGACTGACATATTATAACATTGAAGTTAATTCCATATATATGCCCATTAGAGTTTATATGACAAGATTCTGCTATCATGGTGTCCAACTAACAGAATTTAGATAGTATAATCAATCCTTTCATGTTTCATGGCTGCTAGCAAAATTACTGAAATATTTTTAAACTAAACTTGGTGTCATCTCAAAGAATCAGGTTCACAGCTAGGTCTCCATTGATACTATTTCAGTGTTAATATAATTTGTCAGATTCAATTGTGGGTGACACTTTGAGCCTCAGTCAAGTTCTTCAGCTTTTCTATTTTACATACTGAATACTGGAAACTTTTGCCCATTGAAATTTCGCCCTACCCCGGTAAACTCCTTATTCACCCAGTGTAATTTAACCGTTCACGTTTGATAACTATGTTAATTATCATTGTGATGATTAGTTCAACCTCATTACAGAGGGCAAAAAAGGCGAAAAAAATAAACTGCGGCTAAAATTTTCCTGTGTATACAGTAGTATTTATCAATATTTTGTTTCCTAACTGAAGTTTGCTGGACACCTGCGGACATACAGTCCACTAATACTACACTACTCTACCCTGCACCTTTCTCTTGTGGAACAGGAACCAGATATTTCTCGCCCCTTAACTCTTTATCACAATTGGGCAAGGGAGAAGGGTCTATTACAGAGATCGGGACAGAAGATTTATCATTCATGATTCCTTGTTTTTCAGAACTTACAGAGTAAATAATTGAAGAGTTCTTCAATTTGTTTGTATGTGTATATTGATTGTCTAACCTTTGACCTTGCAGAAGAGCAATTGATGCGTGAACTAGAGCAGGCAAGAGAAGCAAGGAAAACGACCGAGAAACAGCGAGAGGACTTGGTGAAAAAGGCTAAAATGCTGCAGAACAAGATGCAGAATAGGCGCAACCATGGTAGCAACCATATACTGTAGCATAGACATGGGGGGGGGGGG